ATATATATATATATATATATATATATATATATATATATATATATCAGACGTCAAGCTAAACAGGCAGGGTTAAAAAAAATATAATCAACCTTTTTCCCCATCACTTTCATTTTTTAAATAGTAATTAATAAACATTCGATACCATTACAATTTCCTTTTATTTAATTTTAAATAAATATTTAGAGTGTCCAGGTAGCACATAAACAATGCTATTTAAAGGTTTTCTTAAAGTAGGAACGTTTAACCAGAGCTCGCTCCTTCCTTCTGCTCTGCGTAAACCTGAACTGGTCACCTACTTGTGCATAATCAAATGTCTATAGGGGAAAAGATGGGTAAGATATTTTGCCTCAGACCGACTTATTGCTGTTTTATGGTGTGGCTGAATCTGAGATCCGCTGCCATGCGGACTGGAATAACAAATGCTGCAGATACATGAGATGTGGTCCGGTTCGGAGTCACTGGCTGGAGCGGACCCGACTTTAATACGTCATCCCAAAATAGAAGCTAATATCTTAATTTGACCTGGAATGAAAAATGTTATAAAACCTCTTAAAAGTTTTTATCACAGAGGAGGCAGCGCTCATTTCTGCCTTCAGTCTGACGGCACGCCGGGCGGAGTTTACGCAGCGTGCGCACTCATTGAATCTGTGTGTGTGTGTGTGTGCGTGTGTGCGTGTGTGTGTGTGTGTGTGTGTGTGTGTGTGTGTGTGCGTGCGGCACAGCTCCATGAGCCGCTCAAGACACCGCGTCTCGTTATTTGGCGCTATTTAAACCAATGTTGTAAAATTACTTCTGCCCAGCGCAGATGTGCTCACTTGTGCACCCGTGAGCCGTGGTTCTTGATTTATTTAGTTACATCCACAATGTTCTGTGTGTGAGGTTTACAATGTCACAACACCTGCGTGAGACAGGTGTTAATTACAATCTGCCAGAATGACTCACCACCTTCAGATTCCTCCAACACCGTTAAAAATGATCAAATACGGAACATATCGGCGTGCGCAGGCCAGAGTGCTGAAGCTCGGCGCATTGTTATTATGAAGCTAGGGCACATGTGGAGGACACACACACACACACACACACACACGCGCGCGCAAAAATATTGTTTTCAATTCCATTTATTGTGGCCACTTACTTTTTCTTTGGCCCACCCACAAATGAGTTTCTGGCTACGCTAATGGTGACATATGACAGACTTCTCTGAGCTCCGCAGCCATTACACTTTTCACTTCGCGCACCCCCTAGCGGCAGCTCGCGCACCCCCGGGGGTGCGCGCACCACACTTTGGGAATCCCTGCCTTAGGGATTGGTGAGCTGCAGACACGGCAGCGCTCGGGAACTATTTGGTGGTTTAACCCCCCAATCCATAAAGTGGATAGCTCAGGTAGACTTCACAGTAAGAACAAAAGGGAGCCTAAATCTCCTCCCCTTCTGGTCGGCTCATGGGTTCCCAGAACTTAGAAAACATGAATATAAGTGACCTAAGCTATAAAAGCTATTTTCTAAGTCGCCTTGCCTTATATGCTCTGAATCACACGTGTGTTGTACTTCAAATGAAATGCAAAGAAATGATAGCCGTTTTGACAAAACAATGCCATCAACTTGCCGCAACGCTGTGGTGGCATCAGGGAGCTTTAGGTCATTTATAAGTGGTCAAATCTGAGACCATGGTTCTCGACCGGGAAAGGGTGGCTTGCCAACTCCGGGTCGGGAGAGAGGTCCTGCCTCAAGTGGAGGAGTTTAAGTATCTCGGGGTCTTGTTCACGAGTGAGGGCAGGAGGGATCGGGAGCTCGACAGGCGGATTGGTTCGGCGTCTGCAGTGATGCGGACGCTGAGCCGATCCGTCGTGGGGAAGAGGGAGCTGAGCCAGAAAGCCAGGCTCTCGATTTACCGGTCGATCTACGTCCCAATCCTCACCTATGGTCATGAGCTTTGGGTAATGACCGAAAGAACGAGACCGCGGATACAAGCGGCCAAAATGAGTTTCCTCCGTAGGGTGGCTGGGCTCAGCCTTAGAGATAGGGTGAGGAGCTCGTACATTCGGGAGGGACTTGGAGTAGAACCGCTGCTCCTCCGGATCGAAAGGAGTCAGTTGAGGTGGTTTGGGCATCTGGTCAGGATGCCTCCTGGACGCCTCCCTGGGGAGGTGTTTCGGGCATGTCCTGCCGGCAGGAGGCCCCCGGGTCGACCCAGGACACGTTGGAGAGGTTACATCTCCAATCTGGTCCGGGAACACCTTGGGGTCCTGCCGGAGGAGCTGGTGAAGGTGGCCGGGGAGAGGACGGTCTGGAGCTCCCTAGTTGGGATGCTGCCCCCGCGACCCGGACCCGGATAAGCGGAGGAAGACGACGACGATAAGTGGTCAGACCGTGGACGTAATGTTGCTCGAGGGTGACATTTTTTACAAAACATTACGCAGTGGGGTGGTCTCTGCACTGGCGTGGACTTCCATTTATCTTGGACATAACTTGCTTTTTTATTGCAAGCGAAGCCGTGCTCATTACATTTTTTCAACAAGCCGCTTCTAAAGGTGTCTGCCCCCCACAGTCCGTGTGCAGTCTCTGGTGATCTGAGCTCCAGCTCTACCATAGAGAAGCTCCAGGAGCGCTGCATCACTTCCGTTTATCATCTCAGCTGGTTCTGTTTACAAAAGCTAAACTTACGGCCATTTTTTCTTTCATTTCCAATATAGTTGCCAGCCAGAGGTTGGCAGTAACTCCCCACATGATTATGACACCTCCCTCTGTTGTGCCAAGGCACAATCTCCATTTATTAGACAGACAATTAAGGCGATATTACTACCCAGCGAGGCAAAACTAACGCTGCAAAATTCACACATCGCATGCTGCCACGGCGTGTTGGTAAGACACACTGTGGCAGTTATGATGATTTGCACAGTGTGTCTTGTTAAAAGGGCTTAAGTGTGTTTTAACTATGTCTGTCACATACTTTAAGATTTGTTAGCTTGTGAATTTGGGGATTTAAAATGGCTACAAATGAGACATCGCGTTGTGGCATCAACAAGCCATCTCCATGCCACGTTTTTCCTCAGCTCAGCAACCGAGCCAGGTGATTTCCATCAGCACAGTGAAGAAACCTGGTTCAGTTGCTGAGCAGAACAAAATCACATCATGGAGGATGTCTTGTGCCATAATTCCCATCTCTGGTAGCTGCTATTTACCACATGGTCGGGTTTTCTCCACCTTTAATTCTTCTTCTGATGTCCTGGAAGAAGGATTTGAAGCTCGCTAGTCGCTAAAGTAACTTTCTCCTCTTTTCCGTGTATGGTTCAATGACATCGATATGGTACGATGAGCATTTGTAGTCTGCTACGTCTTTTCACACAAAACCTAAAATAACTTTGTCGCCTGTGGAAAAGAATCACTTTCTTGACATCAAAATGTGTTAATAAAATTCAGACATATGTGAAATCCATGGTACAAAGGAAATAACTTGGACTCCTCCATAGACTCCCATTCATTTCTAATGGCAGTTAGGGACTGATCTGGAAGTAGATGGGCGTGGCCTAGGCTCCCCATAGTCTCAGTTTAAATGGGCCACAGATGATTGGACTTTACATGATGCCTTTTATAGTATTTATACAATAACAACTCATGTTTTATAATGTTTATTGGTTTTTGTTTGTCACTTTTGCTGTTGATGGTTGAAGAAATATTTCAAATGTGATTTTAGTTTTTACTCTGCAGCTGTTTATTTGAAGCGTACCATTAATCTTTGTTTCCATCTGACTTTTATTATATTATAAATTAGGGAGTGAGAAGCATGAGTGGTTACCATGACGACCTCAGTGAGCCACTGATAAGAGCTTTAACATTTCCTTAGATCTCCTCCCACGTCTCACACAGTTTAAACATCAACAGGTAGAGCTAAAGTCACAGTTTAGATGGTTACAGAGTTGATGTTGGAACTTTGCCACCACAAGTTCTTCAGAAATGTTCTGGCTTGAGTTTTCCTCTGTTTCCACTCTGACCCAGTTTCATTTTGTATATACCAGCCAAGCTGCTGTGTTTCCTGGTCGGTGCACGTCTAACCCCGTCAGTCTTGTGAATGGCACCCAAAGCATCTTTATGAATCTCAAACCAGTGTTTGATCGAGTGAAGAGAACACAGATTGATGCAAAATGTTATCTTATTCTAGCTACAGTTTAGAACGGAGCAAATCAAAAGTGTCTAAAGAAAGATTAGATGTAAAGGATTTGGATTTGGACGATGCATCATATTTATTTATAAACCCTGATGGAAAGAGTTTAGTTGCTCTTCTAACTGCAAATGAAACTCAGATCTAGTTGCACAACATTCTTATCTGCACAATTTCTTTCATATTATAACCAGACATATTTGTTTGTTGAGCTCGAACCATTCAGATCCAAAATAGAGATTTTCTCATCAGTTCTGTCTTCAGTTGTTGATCCATGTTTTGTTTTTTTCTCACAAAATTAAATTCAGTTTATTTATATAGCGCCAAATCACGACAAGAGTCGTCTCAAGGCACTTCACATAGTAAACATTCCAATCCAGGTCAGGTCGCTAAGCCAGTCAGAAAAAAAGTTTCCTATAAAAGGAACCCAGCAGGTTTACAACAATCCTCATACTAAGCAAGCATTTAGCGACAGTGGAGAGGAAAACTCCCTTTTAACAGGAAGAAACCTCCAGAGGATCCTGGCTCAGTATAAGCAGCCATCCTCCACGACTCACTGGGGACACACACACACACACACACACACACACACACACACACACACACACACACACACACACACACACACACACACACACACACACACACACACACACACACACACACACACACACACACACACACACACACACACACACACACACACACACACACACACACGCACATACGAACATACTCCCACAACCTCCCCTGCTGCACACATGCACACACACTACAAATTCACCAAAATGAACGAATGTGACAGAAGCTTCCTGACACTAACGATGTTGTGTTGCAACAGGACAAGGGAGACTCCGTCTACACTCTGGAGATTCCTTACCACGGGAAGACGTTCATTCTTAAGGTACAGCAGACTCGAGTTCAGCAAAACAATCAACACAACTGTAAAAACAGACTTTTGTTGGTGGGTTTAAAAATGGAAACAACACATTTTGGTCTTGTTGCACTTGGACTAGCCATTAGCCTATCATTCTTAAAGTAACTTAATAATTGTACCGCTAGCACCCTCATGTTTGAAAGCATAATCACATCTGGTCAATTCACTCTTTCTTTGCCTCACCTCCATTATTACGCTCTTGCTTTTACTCCCAGGCGCCGCCATGAGGCCTACAGAGAAGTAAACTTTGTCCTTTTCTTCTTTTTGCACGTTTTCAGCAAACTGAAAAAAACCAATTGCTAGCCTTTATACTTGTTCCACCCAAAGTACAGAAATATACATTTATTTACTGATAAAAACAAAAAAGAAACTTCTTGGAAGTTCTCTTAGTGCAATCGATACCTCAGCTTGCCCTCTTTGTCCAATAGTTCCATGATTAAAATCTGAACATGAACACACAGAGGACAGAGAGTGGGAACAGCCAAACGTCCATTAACTCATCCCATAAGCCCTTCGCTGCCAGCGTTTTTCAGAGTCACAGAGCGTTGTGCTCTACGAAGACGCCAACGCCAAAACAAAGCGGAGACTCACCTCTTACATCAGAAAGAATCCGCGCGTTTCGAGCGTTATCCGTTCTTTCGTAATCCGTTGTTGAATTGTGATCGGCAGAAGCTTTTCCGGTTCGCGCCTCACTTTTTTTACAGCAGCGGCCCTAAACGATCTCCTAACACATGGATGTGTTGCTTCCTGATCACGTGACGTGTGACACACGCGGATGAAGATCAGCTTTAGAGCTGAGATGTTTGTTCTCGTGGTGTGGGGGCTCGTTCCGACGCCCACACAGTAAAAAAAAAAAAAGCAAATGATGACTTGTCGTCATTGGCAGTCAATGAGTTAACATGAGGCCCGGGCTGAGGCCCTTCCCCGGAGCTAGCTCCTAGCGCTAGCGCTGATGCTCATTAATTATTCATATTTTCAAGCATTAAATTACACTTAACCCTTTGATGCATAAAGGTCACTACAGTGGACAGGTACTCAAAATTGTTATTTATTTGTTTTTGCTATTAAGCACAGCTGTTGAAGACTTTATTGCATTTGAGCCCCTCCATTTGGACTTCAGTAAGCCAAGCCAACATATTTCATGCTCAGAATGCACGCTGTCCACTGAGATCGACATGTAATAAAATATTTGTAAATTATAAAATTTTACAAAAAATATTTGTTGAAATTTGTTTCATTCACGCCTAAAGACGAGTGAAAAAAATTGTTTAAAAAATCATGGTTGAAGATTTCATAATTCATGCATCAAAGGGTTAAATGGAAGAGTTACAAAATACACCCCCCCCCCCCCCCCCAGAGTTTTCATAACTGTAAACTAAATCTAATAAACCGAACCAGGCTGTAAACTTGTTTATTTCTGCTATGAAATTGGCATTGTTAACATGGGAGTCAATGGGACCGTTCTCTGATTTGGAGCCTGCCCCTAGTGTATGAGGGTGGAACTGCAATTTTCCTGGCCACTTCCTTGTTGGCTTCATAAAATTCACAAGACTGTGGGGGCTTGGTCTTCCAGCTGGACAGCGATTATCAACAGGCCCTTTCCTTTATTCTGCATAAACAGTGCGCCTGTTTCAGCATGGAAAATTCAGCCAGAGGAGAAAGTAGCTTCAGACAGCAGTATTTGGAGTCTTACTTCCTCATACGTGGACATCTCTCCTCTGATTGGCAAAAATCAACATGACTGTTTGCTCTGCAGCGTAGATGTTTTATCTCCACAAATAACACAAGCTTGAAGGAGTTCTGCTGTGTGGTGGAGTTGCTAATGCTAACAGTTAGCTCATACTAGCCGAGACGTTCTCTGCTGTTTCCTGGACACTAAACCAACAACAGTCTTCCCCATCACGAGTCAAGATGGGTGAGTCCATGAATGTTAAGTGACAGTGTGACGTAGATCGGTCAGGATTTTCACATCCTAGAGTTTCAGTTAGTTTTCTATCAGAAGCTGATGCAGGAGATAGGTGTAGAAGGCTAGTTTCATGTTCAGCCTGCGTGAAGAACTCAGAACGGATGAACATTTTCAAAAATAATAAATAATAAATAAAAAAAATATTTCAGTCAAGGACCTTGTTGTATGGAGTATAGGGATGGGTACCGAATTCGGAACTTTTTAAGGTACCGACCGAGCACCGATTCACATCATTTCAAACGGTGCCTCGTTTCGGTACCCGTCCTTCATAACGAGAACTTGCCTAGACAGCTGCGCATGCGCAAGAGCGTTATGCCGTCGGTCGCTGCGAGCGAGTTGTAAACAGAGCAGCATGGTAGAAAGAACGCACGCTAAAGCTTGGATCCACTTCACTAAATGTGATGGGTAACTGGGTGATGATGAAACCAGCAACAACGATCTAAGTGAGACATCCTCATCTTAATCTGCTCTGGTAGGTAAATAAAATGTTTAAGATAACGTTAGCTTGATTTGTTAGCTTCCGTTTCGCTAATGGTGCGTTCGCTTTCTCCTCGGAACTCCGAATTTCCGACTAGAAGAACATGAACGCGCTCTAAAGTTTGGCTTCACTTTACTAAATGCGACGGGTGATTGGGTGAAGATGAAACCAGCGACAACGATCTAAGTGTGAGGCATCATCGTTTTAATCTGCTCCAGCAGCTAAATAAACTGTTTAAGATAACGTTAGCTTGATATGTTAGCTTCCATTGCCACCATTGTTATCAGCTAATGGTGCGTTCGCTTTCTCCTCGGAAATTCTAACTTCCCAGTAGGAAAAATTAAATGAAAAAAGACGGCAAAAGGAATGAAGATACACAGTAAATTTAGTTCACAGTAAAGATGTTTGCTTCAGTTTAATTATCAACTTATAAAACTACAAGGATGATGTTAAAATACAAACTGTTGTATGTTATTTGTCGTGATATTTATTAAATATTGTTATATATTGAGAAAAATATATATTTAATTATAAAAGAGAATTAAAATAATAAACACTCAAAAGTATCGAAAATTGGTACCGTTAAGTACCGGTATCGATTCATAGGTACCGGTAATTACTACCGAATCGATTCAAATGTCAAAGGTACCCATCCCTAATGGAGTATAATCTGACTTGTTAATGTATGGAATTAAGTCTGGATTATGTCTCTCATTATGTGAAATCAATTCTAGGCTCTCCAAGGTGTATCCGTGTGTGTGTGAAACCAAGCTAAATGCCTGTTACCTTCTCTTATCATGTTAGTGTGTGTAGGTGTGTTTGAGCCTCCTTATTTCTACATAAAGGTAACTTTGTCAGAATTAGAAGCCCTAGGTAAATCGGTGATTTGCCAATCAACTCTCTACAGAGTAAGGGTGTTTGTTGGTAATTAATGCCACGCCCACTGGGGCGACGGTGGCACAGGAGTTAAATGCTCGCCCCGTAATCGGAAGGTTGCCGCTTCGAGCCCTGCTCAGCAAGACACTTAACCCACGTTGCCTGCTGGTGGTGGTCGGAGGGACCGGTGGTGCCAGTGCTCGGCAGCCTCGCCTCTGTCAGTGCGCCCCAGATCAGCTGTGGCTACACTGTAGCTCATCCCCACCAGTGTGTGAATGTGTGTGTGAATGGGTGAATGACTGGTTGTGTTGTAAAGCACCATGGGGGTTCCAGGACTCTAGAAGGCGCTATATCAAATACAGGCCATTTGCCATTCACTATACTGATTGCAAGTCAAACCCTGAGATTTTAAAACATCTAAACTAAGAGTCGAGTTAGCCCGGTAAATTGGCTTTTAACATGGCGCCCAACGTGGGGCGCCATGTTACAAGTCATCTTCCCAGGCTAGCCTCACTCTTCAAAAGATGTTAATGTCCCAGGGTTGACTTGTATTTCTATTTGCGTGGGCGTGACAACAGCCACTCTTTAAAATGCCCTCACTCTGTAGGAGCTAATTAGCAATCACCGATAACCTAGACTCTGATTCTGGCAAAACCAACTTCATGCAGCTCAAGGGAGACAGTTTACTCACAACACACCCTCAGCCACCTGTAGCTTATGTACGCTCAGGTTAATGACTCTATTCTGCTTCTCCTGCTTCCTAAACCACACCTTTGAGTGGGATGTTAAGTCACCAGCTCCTCACCTTTCCTGGTTACACGACAAAGAAGAGGCCCCCAGGCAACGTCGATCCTTTTAGTTTCTCACAATAAGAAACCAAGGTTTTATTCCAAAAAGATGAAAAAAGAGTAATCCGAACTAAATCCTGACACAGCGGGTTCCAAACTTCTTTTCAGATCAGCAGCTCCCCCCGTGTGTTCTACCCCAACCCCTTTTATATTCTCACTCCTCCTCCTCTTGTGCATTCTTCAGGGGTGCATCTCCATGGCAACACCCCCTGCTTCTGGGGCTCAATGTCTGGTCACATGATCTTCCTCTTCTCAGCACCTCCCACAGGCTCCCCTCTTCTCCTTTGGGATTACGTCACCTCCTCTTATAGCCATTGGTCAGTAGAGGGGGACATGGCTCATGATTGCCCCTCCCTCTTCTTCTGCCCAGGGTCAAATGGGCATCTCCTCGTTGCTGGACAAGATGTCTTATTTATATGCTTATAGCTTCTGGACCAGCTCCACAGAGGACAAAAGATAACATACACTCTACTCCCAACACCTTTCAAGGTCAAAACAGGTTATATCCACAACATGAATCGTTCGGCCATATTAGCAGAGCGAAGGCACGTCGCTAATTTACGACATCACGGTTCAGGTGGCTAAAAGGCTGCATGGACACACACACACACACGCACGCACACACACACACACACACACACATGATAAGAGAAGGTAACAGGCATTTAGCTTGGTTTCACACAAACAGATTGAGGTGTAATCCAGACCTAAGTTTTGTAATCAACAGGTCTGAAATTAACTCAATTCAGACCTCTTTAAATAAAGACAGAAACATTGAAGTTTGTTGATCTTGCAGACTTGCTGACAGCCTTGTTTCTGACCTGTTCAGGCCCTGATGCAGTGTCCTGCTGAGCTAGTGTACCAGGAGGTGATTCTGCAGCCAGAGAAGATGGTTCAGTGGAACAGAACTGTTTCCGTCTGCCAGGTGATTGTCTCTGAGCATTCCTCACAGCTCACGCCTAAAGCCTGATTCATGCGTCTCCGTCTGCGTCAGTGCGGAGACACGCAACGTCCTTGCGGGCCTGCCGGAGAGCTCCGCAAGGACGGACGGAGTCGAGCTCTCTTTTCTAAACATCCGTCAGTCGAGACGGACAACGCAAGCTTGTGATTGGTCAGGACGCCGCTGTCGCCTACACTGCCGCCGTTGCACCCTCAAAAACATAAAGAGAGCCGAGGATAACTGTGGCAGACACGGAGCAGGTTGAAGAATACCTCGCGAAAAAACTCTAAAAGCATGAACGTTTAATTCTCCGGTGACTGGAGGAGTGAAAAGATGTGCAGCAAGCGTTTTATTTGTGGACGGAAATGACAGGAAACGTGGGTTTGGAGGTGGCGAGTGCATGAAGAGGTGGAGGAGGATGAGAGACAAATTTGTCTGTGTTAAAAAGTCTCTTATATGCAAAAAAACACAATATAAACACACTATCTTGGACCGATACATGACAGGATACCACAGAACAGCGCTACGCCCTCTGCTGTCCTGCCGAGGGATAGCTTTGCAACACTCTCCAGGAGACGGAGAAGTATGAGAGCAAAACGCTTCCGTCAATCCATGCGTGTCTGTCCCTTGCGGAGCTGACGGAGAAGCATGAATCAGGCTTAAGGTTCATTTCCTAAAAGATGAGGTGGGGTCAGTGGTTTGTGTGTGTTGTGCAGAGGCAGAGTGGGCCTAAATCAGCTGTCTGCTTCTCCTCAGATCCTGCAGCGGGTTGATGACAACACTCTGGTGTCATATGATGTCTCTGCTGGTGCAGCAGGAGGAGTCGTGTCAGCGAGGTATTTCAAACAAATGTCATGCTTTTATCTTTACTTCTAATCACAATTTCAGGTCTGATTTGTAGTTTTCTGTCTACAGGGACTTTGTTAATGTACGGCGAGTTGAGCGTAAGCGAGACTGCTACATGTCTGCTGGCATGGCAACCGATCATGATACCAAACCACTGTGTGGCCGCTATGTCAGGTCAGACGGTGCTGCTAGCTGAACTTTCTGTCAGAATTCCAGAAAGCAGCGCTGGAACTTTTTGTTTGATGTGTTTTGTGAATCTTTAGGGGTGAAAACGGTCCAGGAGGGTTTGTGGTTCTGAAGTCCAGCAGTAACCCGTCAGTCTGCACCTTTATCTGGGTCCTCAACACAGACTTAAAGGTGGGAACTCGCAGCAACCCCTCAAGTGTTTTGTTTTTAACCCTAGGAGTGTTCATATACAGCAATTCTGCACATCACACAATGAAAGTGTTTATCATTCCGTCTTATAAACACGATCCTTCTGTGCATCTAAAAAGAAGTTTAAGATATTTTATCTAAGGCTACGTTCACATTGCAGGCAAAAGTGCATCAAATCAGATTTTTTCCCCCACATGTGACCCATATCTGATTTTTTTCTATAACAGTCTGAATGGCACAGATCGATTCATTTCAAATTTGATCCATGTCAATCTTATATGCGGTACTGATTCTGATACATATCTGATGTTTTTGAAAGCGACTGCAGTCGGAACTGAGTCAGCAGAGGTGAGCGTTGTGTGTGGATGCTCCTGAGGAGAAGCGCTGACAGAAGGATTCAGGAGTCTGTCTGGACATCCTGTCAAGTTTCGGGATTAAAAATACAAGAGTGTATGAGAACAGGAGAGGAAGCTGCTGGAGCGAGCCTCTCACCAGTCTCCGTCTCAGTGAAGGGAGGGGCGGTCCCCGTGAGAGCAGGGGGCTCTCCGTGAATTAACTTAATACCCGAGCATTTTCGGTGCATAATGATTCAGGAAGACTGCGGGGACAAGGAGTAAAACAGCTTTTAAAACAGTTTTCAGTCTAAAACGGGAGAATTACCAGGTGTGATCCTGATCCTGTGGATGAACTCAGTGAAGGCTTTCACATCGCAACTCCGCCTCTCCTGGTTCCAACTCCACTGAGTGTGACTTCTTGTCTTCTGCACATGCGGTTTGCTTTGGGACCGTGGAGTATTCACACTGGAGAGAGTTTGATGTCACATTTCAGTCATGATGTTAACAGCCACTCAAAAAAAAATCTGATTTACTCAAAACATTCGTAACTCAACATCAAAGCCTGCAGTCTGAATGTAGCCTAAGTTCAGACCCTGAAGTCTTATTCCAACTGATACGTACATAGTTATGTAAAGGATGGGTCGTTTACATCTTACTTATGAACCATAAAATGTGAGATTCCATAGAAATATGAAATATCAATCTGATGGATCTTTGAATATTTTAACCAGAAGATCAGAACTTTTTATTGCAGGGATTAAGCGACACTTCGTATTAACTCCAAGGAAAGAGAGAGAGTCTGGTTTATAATAGTTAAGAAATTTATTTCTACACAATTTCAACAAGACTAACTTTAACACTCTGTGTACTGATGGACTAAGGTGGAGGGAGACGTGATGAATGATGATGGTGTGTGTGTGGAATGTTATTCAGAACCAGCGGATCCGGAGAAGCATTTAGTTCTGAGTGGGAGTGAATGTTTCGCTCTAAACTTTAGTCGGAGATTTATAACACACACGAAACGCCATCTGTTGGTCTACGTACCCCAGGGGAAGCCTCCGTTAGATCCAGAATGTCGATGTCCTCTTGGACCCTCCTTGGTACCGAAGCCGGTAAAAAAGCAGCGGTGCCGACCAAACTAGTCTTGGAATGATTCCAGGTCACGACAGGTTATCACTGACGTCTCCGAGTCCTGAAGGGGTCGTGAGGTTCAGCTTTTATTCTGAAGGAACCGTTGCGGTCAGGTGTAACGTGCAACAGATTTTATCCAGCTTGTCTGAGGTTCTTTAAGGCTGAAGAGGAAGTCCGGATGGCCGGTCCCAGACTTCTCTAGAACGCTTGAACTAAAGAAAAGGTGGCGTGGGATAGTTTTTATAATTGTCATATTTTGGTTTACTGGCGAATCAGAATTTGACATGCCAAAGAGGGTTTATACAAACACCACAGATAACCACGCCCAGCCAGAAACGAAGGTTCTGATTGGATCAGACAAAAGGAAATGTGTCGTGTGACTTTAGCATTACGTGTCATCAGTGTCTAGTGCAGATGTCCAGGATTATAATAACTTGTAAAATACTACTGATCACAGGATTATAACATCAAGTAATAACATTGTCATTTCACAGATTGATTGAACATTGGGCTCACATTATTATTGGTAATAACAAAGTTGTTGATTATGTGTTTATCACAAGAGAGTTCTTCGTCTTCGTCTTCGCTGACAGAGGTGAAGCAGTTCAGATGAAAGACCTTGGCCACTATCTCATGTGTATTAGGCTGTCAGAGACTTTGTCTCTGCTCGAGCAGATACAGCAGATCATGACCTTTAGGTCATAAACAGGACATTCATGATGCTACAGTTATCAATATTAGCTTAATTCAGTTTGTATTTCTTCAACTAATGGCACATGAAAACATTTAAACCTTGAATCTAATGTCTGCAAATTAGTAATTGGATGAAGGTATTTATATTTTCTGCCACATTTACAGGATTATTCTGACTTTGTTACAGTTTTAGTCTGAATCTCCACACGTCCACCCACACTCCTGGACTTCCAGGAACATATAACCTGATTTTTGTTAATGTTGCAAGCTTTCATTGTGCTGTGAGGAAACACGAGGAGATGATGGTTAACACCCAGGTGTTGTGTCCTTTTAGGGTCGTCTGCCTCGATACCTGATCCACCAGAGCCTGGCCGCCACCATGTTTGAGTTCATGTCCCATTTACGTCAACGCATCGTTGATGTTCGGCCCTCCCACTGCTCCCATCACCTCCACACCTAAAGCATGGAGAGACGGTGCTGCTGTTGGACCTCCACCAGTAAAACTGGTGCAGAGCAACCTTGTTGTGTTCCAGCGCTGAAACACACTTCAACTCTCAGAGCAGGAGACTGCGTTTCAGTCAGACGGGACGTGGAGTTTCGATCACATCGTCCTTTTTTCTTCACTGTTACTTTTTTAAAATGAAAGCATGATCACTGACACATTTTAATGTGGACGTGGAGCTGCAGTGCACTTTCGCCAGACTCCAAGGCCTGCATACAGGTGGGAGCCACCCACAGTGGAGCGTTGGGGATGAACTGTGAGCTGTGTCTTGCACAACATGGTGTTGTTCATCAATTTGCTGCCTTTAATAAAAGGTTTGTACTGCACTAAGTGTAAACGTGTTTCACCTTTCCAGCCTTCTGCAGCCACATTCACGACAAACACCTGGGTTGAAGGATGCTGTTACAAGAGGCGTTTTCCTTCACACTGTGAAACAAGGGGAGCACTCTCCTTCCTGCAGAGGGGGGAAACGTCCTCCCTCACACTACGACGCCAACATGGAGAACTTGTTTTTGTTTGTTTTCTTTATCCTTAAATGCTTTTTTTTAACGGACCCATGCAGTAAACTGCTTCTGCTTCATCTTTGTCGGATTTGATCATGATGTTAGTTTGGACAAGTTCAGATTTGGCTCCTTATATATTAGCAAGGTGCACTTTTACTACATCTGCCGAACACTTTGAGTGGCCTTATGGGAAAAGAACCTGAACTGAAGGTAAATCTACTGGAGTTACAGAAAAGTGCCTTTATCGCAAAACCCTCTTATTTAGCTTCATTTCATGCTGTTTAATCTGCTTTTGTTTACAGTTTTCTTTGAATATGATTTTGATCTGATTTGTCATTTATCCACTGAAGAAGTTTATGAAGCCATCATACGGACCAGCTATTTTTACAGAGTCTTAACCAGTGTCATGTCTAATAAAACAGAATCTTAAAACGCGAGCTTATTTATTTTATGAGACAAAACCAAAGTGATCCTCATTTTCCCTTCAGTAAGAATCAAGCCGTTTATGTAACCATCTCTGGGTATTTTAGTTCTTGTTTGAAGATTTTTCAGTTTCTGCAGATCAGTGGGACATCTTCCACACACTGCTCTTTTGTAATCTTGATTTTCACTGATGTTAAGGTCGCCGTAATATTAGAACATGAGGAAAACCCTCAGTTTTGAAAAGATTTGATGTTCGCAGCTTTCTTGTCATGGTGTAGTGTTGAGATCTGGACTTGAGCTGATCCTTTACTAGACCTTGTTAGGCTGATCTTCAGCTTCCCTCACATTAGACTCTAGAATACTTCAGTAGGAGTTCATGTTTGATTCAGCGACTACAAGGTGCCCAAACCATCATCCCTCCACCACCGTGCTGACAGCTATGAGCTGCTTGTGCAGACTGAGTTGGGTTTTCTCTTTACTTGCTGCTGTTGACTCATCTATTCAAAGAAGTCTTCCACAAATCATGAAGTTTCCTCACAAACCCAAGCTGTGCTAATATGATAATGACCCATTTTGATGATGGGGCAGCAGTAGCTCAGGAGGTAGAGCGGGTTGTCCACTTAATGGAGGGTTGCAGGTTCAATCCGGGCTCTCGTGGAGAATGCTTCTGTTGTGTTCTTGGGCAAGACACTAACCCACCTTGCCTGCTGGTGGTGGTCGGAGTGACCAGTGGTACCTGTGCTGGCTTCCGTCAGTGCACCCCAGGGCAGCTGTGGCCACAATGTAGCTCCTCATTTCTATGAGGTTCCGAATGTGCCAAAAATGTGTGTATGTATTTATATGCGTGTCTATGTATTTATATGCGTGTCTATGTATTTGTACGCCAAAATGTGTCTATGTATTTATATGCGTGTACGCTCACTGCACTGCCACACAGTGCAGTGAGCGTACAAATACATAGACACGCATATAAATACATAGACACATTTTTGGCACATTCGGAACCTCATACATCACCAGCGTGTGAATGTGGGTATGCATGGGTGAATGAATAATTGTGTTGTGAAACGCCTTGGGGTGTTGTAAAACCAGAGAAGATTCTATTTGTTAGAGTATTTTCTAATTCTACTGTAATATATGCGGCCTCTTTATTTTTACACCTACTGATTAACAATCCAACCTTTTGGTGAAACGTCCATCTCTAGACTGTTTCCCACTTGTGGATAAATCCCTTTCACCGAAGAACAAATCTCACATTATGAGCTCCAGGAATGTTGCCTATCACAAACCTTGAAGCCTCAGCTTTTATTTTTGTATTTTTTAGGGCTAAATTGACTGATTGGATTTGCGGCTCCTCATCTTTATTTCTAGTAAGAGTAACAACCAGAGGAAGATTTTTGCTTCACTCCGTGTTTTTGCTAAATGACTCATAATTATAAAAGTCACTATTGTTTAAGGCTTGTTTTAGGATCTGGTGAGAAAAATAAAAGATTGCCTCTAAATGGCCAATGGTGGGAGGGCAATGATGTTTTTGCCTTCGAGTGAGCAAGTCTGCAAGTCTCAAAATGTCAAACATATTTAAAGAAATGCTGTCAGAAAGTAATTATTGGATATCAACCCAGTTCAAGATGGTTACCACAGCTCATCAACATAGCTGAGTCCATTTTACAGATACCAAGAAGTGATGTCTAATAGTTGAGTCTTTACCTCAGACAAAGCTGAGCAAAGTGTCTTCACTTCCATTGTTAAAGGTAATGCTGAAATGTTTTGTTTCAAGCACCAAAGTGTTGCGCTTTGAAGCCTGAGAACTCAGGTTCAGGTATTGGAAGTCCAGCCTACTGTCCCGCTTCAAATTGTGTAGAAATACCAGCATCAAATGGCTCGTCACAGCTTGCAACAACATAAAATGTGGATTTAAATTGCGTCAGCACCTGATGAACATCATTTCTTGATCTGAACAATGTCCAACCCATTTATATGGAAGGAGTGAGACACAACTTACACTAGAACCTGCCACTGGGGGGACTTTAATTTTTTTTTGTTTTTATATCTTTAAAGGTGCAATGTGTAAGAATGACATCTTGTGGTCAAATTTGATTACTGCAGTCCATTTTCACTATTTCACTGCCGTTCTATTAGTTTCATGACTGTTGCCAGTTATGGATCAGCTCCTGAAGATTCTTAATTATAGGCAAAGATGAGTCATACACAATAAGTTGATAAGCAGTTAAGCATTTTGTTATATCTGGTGTTGGCACTGTTGGGGGGTTTTACGCTAGAGAGCACTTACTACATATAGCCTGGCCTGCCAGACTCGTCCTCTGTTTAATTCTACACAGAGAACTAGTCTGGTTACTCACATGCAGAGAGGCACATGTGGGGCGGGACTAGCCAGCTCAATAATGACCAATCAGAAAAAATCTCTCAACGCTGTAGTTTTTCAGTTATGGTCAGAAATGACGTCTGGCTGACAGCGCAAACACCTTTCTTTAGAAGAAAGGCTTTTAGCGCTTCTACTTGTTGTGATTTTAAAGACATGTCCAAGTCAGTTAGAACAGAGGAAAGAGCGGTCTCCGCTTCAGGTGCCGTCTTTGTTGTTCATTAGAAACTGAGTATTGTGGCGTGTGATGTTCGCTGCGCAGCGCTGATTGGCTCAGTTAGAAATCTGAGGAGGTGGGGTTATTTTAATAGGAGATTTCCCAGACCCTGCTGTTGTGTCCTTGGGCAAGACACTTCACCCAACTTGCCTGTGTTAGTGGTGGTCAGAGGGGCCGACGGCGCCAAATGGCAGCCTCGCCTCTGTCAGACCTCCCCAGGGCGGCTGTGGCTACAAGTAGCTTACCATTACTAGCAGTGTGTGAATGTGAGTGTGTGTGAAAGCGTCTTTGGGTGTCTAGAAAAGCACTATATAAGTTCAACGCATTATTATTATTATTATCAATGTGTTGTCTCTATTTTCATGACCATTTACATTGGGAGATTTTCACTGAAGGAATCAGATCTATGAATGAACACATGTGGAGTTATGTACTTAACCAAAAATGTGAAATAACTGAAAACATGTTTTATATTCTATTTTATTCAAATAGCCACCCTTTGCTCTAATTACTGCTTTACACACTCTTGGCATTCTCTTGATGAGCTGCAAGAGGTTGTCACCTGAAATGATTTTCCAACAGTCTTGAAGGAGTTCCCAGAGGTGTTTAGCACTTGTTGGCCCCTTTGGTCATGGTCATGGTCATGAAAATAAAGAAAACACATTGAATGAGAATGTGTGTTCAAACTTTTGGCCTGTACTGTAGTTTCCAACTGAAAAAGTAGCTTAAGGTACTTTTAGAGCTAACTATTTGTTTCTAATTTACTGTTAGCATTTTTAGCACAATGTTGTCCTCTAGTCCGCTTCACCCAATATTAGAGTACAACAAAAGGATGCTGTGGCTATTTAGGGGTACAAGAAAAAACTTCTGGGTCACTCCTGTTTACTGGCTTTGGTTCTTTAAATAACTCGAGATTTTTGCCTGCTGAATTTGGTCTACAAATGTCGGGCTGCAGCATTAGCTTGTTGGGGTGATGGCAAACTCACAAGCTCACTGAACAACTACATTCCCATGTCTTCTTTTTTTTTTCCAAAGGAGAACATTTGATAACCCCCACCCGGTCTGCTGAGAATGAAATTTGTTCCTATATAACCTTCATCCTTCCACCATAATTGAGACATTTGACTGTTTTGTGATAATTTCACTGTAGAATTCCTACATATTTCACCTGTAAAGGGGTTCTAGAATTGTTGTTTCAGTGGTGCTAACCACAGAACTAGCTAGCTGCTAGCCCAATCTACTGCTAATGCTCTGGTTCAAACATTTATGGCTAAATACCAGATAGAGCCTCAATTTTCCCATTGAGTTATCTGAATACTGTACACAGAGTTTCCAGCTTCAGGAGCGTCATAGAGCCATCGAGGTAATCTGGCCAATCAGCATGCAGCTCATTTAATATTCATGTTGTGACCGAGTGGGTGGGGCGAACCAGTCTTCTCATTCTATTACTTTAATATGGAGTAGTTCATTTATTTGGGCTCCTGGGCCATTGTAGACCCTGTTCTGGAACCCCTTCAAAGCAATGCTCAAAGATTTTATCATGCATGCTGATGCTAGCGCTAACAGACCATTTGAGATTTATACTCGAGACTTGACCAAACAACTTTAGCTCCTTCTTCTCTCTGCTGATGTTTTCAGTGTATAACTGTAGCTTTGAACAGTGAAGGAAGAGATGCATTTCTTTAATGTTGTGATATTTTAAAGCTGATGTGTTTGATTTGGATTGAGCCACTTTAGAACGTTTTCATCACAGCAGAGCACTCTTTTCTTACTAATTTTAGTCATCCAGATCCAAACTCGACCTGCTCTCATACAGATTCAGTTCCTCCTCACTGACCCCTCATTTTAAAGCCTTACACGCGTACTGGCCTGCCCTGCATCAGGAGCATGTTTGTGCTAGGAACAAATCCGTGACACCGCGTTGGATTGTTGAATAACGGCCACAACATTACTCTGTACAGTCACTGGAGGCCTACTCTGCATGGCATGTTGTGGAAGGACAGTGTTCACAAAAAAAAAAAACTGCTTCAGACTCGAACTGTAAAGAATAGAATTAAGTTCTCTAGAACTGAGCACAATGAACTGAATCCTTAAATCAATACAGCCATGGTAGTATGTGAAATTAGGAGCTTCTGTTGTGAAGAGATGTGTTGTCCTTGGGGCAAAGCACATTGCTCAGTACAGGACATGGAACATCTCACATGATTGTGCTGTGACTGTCTTCTGAGGCAATGGGTGTGTGAATGTTTTTTTTAAAGATGAGAGCAAAAGCTTCTTTAATACTCTCATTGTCCTCCATGTGAGGTCGATAAGAAGCTACAGTCCTCAGGGTGCCGTCTGCTCGAGCTCTTCTGTCCAGAGGAGCTTCATCTGGCCGATGATCTGGAGGAAGAACCTCGACTCAATGTGAAGCCTTGGTAGGATCATGGAAAATGGGAAGCTGACATTTAGGTAAAGGAGTTTTTTTTAAATTTGTTACTTCTGGAAAATTGTATTTATTCAATTTTACCCGTAGAACTGAGCCAGAATTCATCAAATTGGACCACATTTTTGTTGAAAGTTATTTTTAAGCGTGACCAAAACATCAAGGTTTGCTTTCTGAAATATATGCAACACATTAGGGTGTTTTTGTGAAACACCTCTGCAAAACATTCACAGAGGACACTGAGCAGCAGAATAACCGCTGGACGTGGTCCGAAGAAGGCCCTTCAAAATTTCCACCTGGAGGACCGGACCTTGTAAAACCCTGGGACCTGTTGGCTCTGTTCCTGCTAGATGGGTTCATCCTTCAAGAGGTTCTGCATGCAGTTTTGCTGCTGCTGCTGCGCTCAAGATGAGGACGATGACGATGAGAAGCAACCGTTAGTCCCGTAAGATGAGAAAAGTCCTTCATCTCATGTTTCTTCCTTCGAATAAAGTTTGGTGTATTTAAAAATCAATCGCAACTGTTTGTCACAACTAGTTAGCAACAAATACTGAGCATTGAAATGTTTATTCTATTAATTTTTTTAAACAGAAACTGTTTAAGAAACTAAAATCTCCATAAATTAAAATCTTGATGCTAAAATTAAATATTTAGAATCAAATTCAAATATTCAAATTTAAATCTAAATCTAAAGGAAGAATATATGTATTTGATGACCTGCAATTTAAGAATGTCTTGAAAACTAATACGAAGTTACCCACCACGCGGTGGCTCACAGATTCTCCGTAGAACTATTTGACAGTATAGTTATTGTCTGGAGTCCTGTCGTACGCTGATAAATAATCCATGGTTATGCGTGTCTCTCTGCTGACGACACAGTCCAGATCCGCTGGACTATTTTACACGTGAAGTCCAGAAGCGGCGAGACGAGGAGACCAACCTGTGGAGCGAACCAGGAGACCCCAGCCACTCGGAGAGAGCTGACGACCGAACGCTTTACACCCTGATTCAGGCCCGGAGCATGACCCGTGTTGGCTCCACGGTGTGTGACAGGGACACATGCTGGGATAAATGAGTAGTGTAAAGGAAAGAGAAAGATCAACCATGACATGAGCACTTTTTTCTTTCAACTAATACAAAGAAAACAAAACAATTGTGGCGTTTATCTTTTCAGGGCTACCGTCGTTTGAGTGTTGACATTGAAGCCATGAGAGACACCCGCAGAGAAGTCAGGGACAAATGGAAAACAATCCTGGAGAACTTAGGTAGAGACGGTGATGACATTTGAGACAAGCGTTCACTAGTAAACACTTTTATAACACTTGCTGTTCTTTTCCCAGGATTCATGGCTGAGGCAGACGCTCTGCTGAACGTGTCAGCTGGTACGTCACAGGACCGCATGCGGAATGCCCCAGCAGCACGTGCCATGCTTCATACTCTGCACACTGAGACCTCCATCTTCAGCAGCAAGGAGTCGCCTCCAGAGAGATATCTGTTCATCCTGGTGAGAGAGCACACCACCGACTCCAACCTCTTCACTCAAATTAGACCATTCTGTGAATTGGTGCCTGTGGCTTAAGGCTCCCAAAGTTGTGGTCAAGACCATCATGGAGCACCAGATTCTTGAGGTGGCCAATGACATATTTTACTTACAGATTAGATAAACTGAGAAACGTTTCTAATACTTGTTATTTTTAAATGTGATCGGTCACTCCGAGTTTCATTCATGCTGAATGTGAAAAATGTTTCTACCCTTATATCCTGCCTTAAAAGCTAATAAACAGAGAAACTCTTGGGTGAGATAAAGCCACGCAGATCTACGTCGCATCTACTCACCTACCTCGGATTGAGACTGTGAAAGGCTGTTGTTCATTTAGTGTCCAGGAGAGAACAGAGCAGGTCTCAGCTAGCTGAAGCTAACCGTGAGCATTAGCAACTCTGCAACATGGCAGAACAGATTCAGGCTTGTGTCATTTGTGGAGATAAAACAGCAATGTTGCAAAGCGAACAGAGTCAGTGGAAGGCTTGTGTTGCTGTTAGCCAATCAGAGGTGAGATGTTTGCATATCATGAATATTAAGTAAGACTCCACCCCCCCACCCCCCACTGGCTTCCTGAAACAGCAGCGCTGGAGCTTGTTTTCTACAGGGAAAGACTCACAAAACATTCATTCATACTAGAGACCACAGCTCATTATTTGAAATATTAGAATAGAGTAGAATAGACTTTATTGGTCTCATAGTGGGGAAATTCACTTTTTACAGTGGCACCAACTGTCACGCTGAGAGCAGGAGGTTTGGACCCAAAATGCAGAAATCCAGACAACAACTCAGGCGGGAGCAGTTGAATAAATGAAGAACTCCTTTTATTAGGATGATGAGTAATTTCCAAGGGCAGGGAGCCAAAAAACTAGGAAAACTGAATTACAAACAAAAGCTCATTTATGAGGAAGGACCTGGAGTCACCAAAGGAGGGCAGAACAACGCTGACAAATACAATGGACCAACAAACACTGAAGGACAAGACAGGGGTTTTAACACAGAACGGGAGCAATCAGGGGAACAGGTGACAGGTGTGAGGAGTGAGACAGGTGCCATTAATAAACTTAACGGGGAAAGAACTTAAGCAGAGGGGGAGATCAACCGTAACCCATAAACCACTAAATAACTAAACCTAAAGACTAAAGCCTGGTTTATGCTTCTCCGTCAGCTCCGCAAGGGACAGACACGCACGGATTGACGGAAGCGTTTTGCTCTCATACTTCTCCGTCTCCTGGAGAGTGTTGCAAAGCAATTCCCCGGCAGGACAACAGAGGGCGTAGCGCTGTTCTGTGGTATCCTGTCATGTATCGGTCCAAGATAGTGTGTTTAGTTTGTGTTTTTTGTGTATATAAGAGACTTTTAACACGGACATATTTGTCTCTCATTCTTCTCCACTTCATGCGCTCGCCACCTCTAAACCCACGTTTCCTGTCATTTCCGTCCACAAATAAAACGCTTACTGCGCATCTTTTCACTCCTCCAGTCACGGGAGAATTAAACGTTCATGTTTTTAGAGTTTTTTCGCGAGGTATTCTTCAATCTTCTCCGTGCCTGCCGCTAGTTATCCTCGGCTCTCTTTATGTTTTTGAGGGCGCAATGGCGGCGCTGTAAACAGCGGCGTCCTGACCAATCACAAGCTTGCGTAATCAGTCTCGTTCGACGGATGTTTAAAAAAGTGGGCTCGACTCCGTACGTACTTGCGAGCCCTACGCAAGGACGGATAATGGCGTTGCGTGTCCCCGCACTGACGCAGACGGAGAAGCATAAATCAGGCTTAAGGGCAAAGATAAACAACTACTGACTAGAGGGGTGAGGAGGATTAAGGCCCTGTCCACACGTAGCTGGGGATCTGCCAAAACGTAGATATTTTCCTACGTTTTGGTCTGTCATCCACACGAAAACGGAGTTTTTTCACACGAAAACGGATCTTTTTAAAAACTCCGGCCAAAGTGAAGATCTGCGTTTTCTCCGTTTTGGGTGTCTGCGTGTGGACGGACAAAACCGGAGTTTTAAGGTCCGCAACGTCACTTTCCGCGACAAAAAAAATGCTGACATCACGTGTGTGACCTGTGTTTACACTAGCCGACAGCATGGATGCCCTCAGAGCTGCGCTCGCTTTATCAATTGTCCAAGCGCTTTTTGCTTGTTTGTTTTTGCAAGCAGAATTACTGCTCCTTGCGGAAGACCACAGAAGGACGAGGTTAAGAACGGGGGAAGTACTGCCGCCTACAGGTCTGGCATGTCCTTAACAACGTATTTATCCGGGTACGTGTGGACAGAGTTTTTTAAAAACGAGGTGGTGTGGATGCAAGTTTTTGGAGGGGCGGATATTCGTTTAAAAAAAACCCGGCTACGTGTGGACTAGGTCTAATATAAACCAATAATAACTACACGGGAGTGACTAGGAGGAGACAAGAGGGAAGCCTAGAGGGAGCTGGAGAACACAAGGAGACACATGAGGAGAACACAGAGGACCAACAGCAGGGGGCTTGGGACCAAGGGGACACAGAACATGACACCAACACTTAAGAGAATAATTTGAAGAAAACGAATAACAAGGTACATGTTTACACACATAGGCAGTAGTCTAGAATTGTAAACTTCAACCATTAAAAACCACAACTGTATATATAACAATTGTATGTAAATAAGTATTGTATGGTACTTTAGCCCTCTGGAGGCAGGCGTTGCAGATTTACAACAGTTAAAACCTACCTACCTGGTTACTCCACATGTGTGTTTCATGAGCATTTTTAACTCAGAAGTATCCCTGAAGGACTTAGTTGTTCCTCCTTTTATCTGAACTTATTTTGAGCCTGAGAGGGTTAAACCGTCACTAATAAAATAACTAATTATTACAGTTATGTAGCACTTCTGCACGGACCCTAAGCGGTTAAAGCAGAAGACATAAAACTAAAAACTGTAGTAAAATGGTTGAGAAATGGCTTCATTTAATGACTTTTTAAGCTTCATTATTTAATCGGCTATAGGTGGCGTCACCGCTTCACGACATTATGTAGATTAAAAGCTGAAAGGTTTGGTTTAACTTTCAGTTATACAACTGCAAACATAAGAAGTATGAATATTTGTGCTTGTTTTTCTTTATTGCACCAACGCATCTTGGTTTTAACTCTTACTGTTGGAAAGCCTGATGTGTCACCTTTAGGTAGAACTTGTAAGGAGCGTGAGGCTGTGGGGTGAGAAGCAAAGCTGATGGTGTGGGTAGCAGACCCTGGAAATGGGGAGGAAACCCTCTGTGCTGGTCCTCTGTTGGTATTCCATGTTGTTGGGTGTTTGAGCACCAGGTGTGTGCCCACATGTTTGACAGGAACCAGCTTGGTCATGCTGTTTGTGAATATCAACAGGAGAGTAATATAGGGGAAACTTACACACGTGACCTCGTTGTAATATCCTCTTGTAAGGAGTCTGTCGATCAAAATGAGAACTTTTGCCAGAAAGAAATAGTTCCTACATTTTATGCTAGACTTTCTCTGCAGGCTTGGGTCACAGAAAGAACTATCCCAAACATCTCCGTGATCCCGTTTATTTGAGCAACTGTACAGTCGAAGGCCATGGCTGTTTTCCTCAAACACCTCATCAGATCAGATCCTTTCTCCGCTTGAGTGAGTTCTTTATCTCCTCACAGGATCGTCTCCTGTACCTGGACATTGCTGAAGACTTTCTGGCCAAAGCAAAGCGATTCTATCCTCCGCAGGAGGACTCTGACGAGGACACATCTGGCCTCGCCATAAACCTGCCGCTGCTGCTGGCCAGAGTACAGGCTATGAACGGACGTGGAGACGGCGAGGATGAGAGCGAGAGCGAGAGAGATGACGAAAACTGAGCCAAAGATCTGCTGTTCGAGCAGAAGGACAGCAGAGGGCGGTAGTCAACAATCCAGAATCTTTCAGGTCTTTGTTGCTGCAGTTAGGCCAAGCGTCCTTTTGACTCCCAGCTTTGAGTTTAGTTTTAAAGAGTTTAGTGGAAAATCAAGAAGATTTTTAAGTTTCTTTTATCATTTGCCTTGTGATTATCAGCTATTCCAATCTGAATAAAAAACACTTATGTCATAATTATTTTTATTTTATTTATTTGTCTAATGAGTAGATTTAATCTTTAGAAAAACTCATCTGGCTTCTGGAATAGCTGGACATAGAGATGCACAGAGAGTTCAGTATGGTGGAGTTTTTTCAGGAGAGAGAGAGTGTGTGTGTGTGAGTGTGTGTGTGTGTGTGTGTGTGTGTGTGTGTGTGTGTGTGTGTGTGTGTGTGTGTGTGTGTGTGTGTGTGTGTGTGTGTGTGTGTGTGTGTTTGTGTGTGCAGGTTGAAATAAAGTTTCTGCCTTAAGCCTCTTCTTTGCACAATGTCACATGTTGGAGCCTCTAGTGGAATTGTTTCCAGTTGGTCTAAATTTAGGTTGTTGACAAAAAATCTGAGACCATGGTTCTCGACCGGGAAAGGGTGGCTTGCCAACTCCGGGTCGGGAGAGAGGTCCTACCTCAAGTGGAGGAGTTTAAGTATCTCGGGGTCTTGTTCACGAGTGAGGGTAGGAGGGATCGGGAGATCGACAGGCGGATTGGTTCGGCGTCTGCAGTGATGCGGACGCTGAGCCGATCTGTCGTGGGGAAGAGGGAGCTGAGCCAGAAAGCCAGGCTCTCGATTTACCGGTCGATCTACGTCCCAATCCTCACCTATGGTCATGAGCTTTGGGTAATGACCGAAAGAACGAGATCGCGGAAACAAGCGGCCGAAATGAGTTTCCTCCGTAGGGTGGCTGGGCTCAGCCTTAGAGATAGGGTGAGGAGCTCGGACATTCGGGAGGGACTCGGAGTAGAACCGCTGCTCCTCCGGATCGAAAGGAGTCAGTTGAGGTGGTTTGGGCATCTGGTCAGGATGGACACCTCCCTGGGGAGGTGTTTCGGGCATGTCCTGCCGGCAGGAGGCCCCCGGGTCGACCCAGGACACGTTGGAGAGGTTACATCTCCAATCTGGTCCGGGAACGCCTTGGGGTCCTGCCGGAGGAGCTGGTGGAGAAGGCCGGGGAGAGGACGGTCTGGAGCTCCCGAGCTGGGATGCTGCCCCCGCGACTCGGACCTGGATAAGCGGAGGAAGACGACGACGACAAAAAATAAAGAAATTCAAGTAGTTTGAAGTTGAACATGTTTTCCAGCCTCTCCTCACGTGGCCCGTCGCTTGTCTATTTATAGATGGTTCTGTTCCCCTCTGATCCGGCATCTGAACATCCCACTGGGGCCTGACTTGGCTCCAGTGGTGATGATGGTGTTTTGGTGATCAGCTGCTTGTTGTTGTTATATAAGAGCGCGTGTCTGAGCAGACACTGATACGAAGCACTAAAGCTGAGTTAGAGATAGTGTGGTGGAGCCAGCAGGAAGTTAACTTTCCACAGACTCCTCTCTCTCCCTGCTTTTTCAGGTATTCTCTTCGCTGTCCTCCCAAATCCGCTCCACTGTCATAACAAAATCAAAAATGCTCTCACAATATTTTGCCTGAGATTATCGCCTCCTCCCTCCCACTTTCTGTCTTCTTCGTCAGCTCATTTAAATGTCAGTTTGCAGAGGCTGTGGCAGCGTCATTACACAACACAAAGTTCCTCCTGGCTGAGCCTAGTCTGCTGCGGCTGGAAGGTGGGGGGTTGATGTCCGAGACGAGCTTCGATTCGTCTTAGCTCACCTTTACAGATGCCCCACGCCCCTGCATTCATTAGTGCAGGATGACTCACACCAAAGCAGCTCTGAGACAAAGGCCAGCTGCTGTCTTGCTGCTTGTGGCCCAAAAGTAAATATAAGAAGCCACAGCAGCGCTACTTCAGATATTTGTTTTTCTCTACATTTATTTGGCTTAAAACAACATTAGTTTCAAAAGAGTAAAGATAGTTGTTACTGTGTTTCCCTGCTTATCCTGGTTAGGGCCCAAATTGTTGCAGCTCCAGCAGGGAAGAAACTGAATCCCCAAAAGTGTTCACCATATCAGGAAGGTGAGCCATGAACACTTCATCTGTGAAGCATTCAGGTAGTGACCACATGTCTGGTCCTTCTTTAGATCGCTCATCTCTATGTGGAGGACCAGAGACACCAGCAGACCTTCAAATCTGATGCCACGAATCTAAAATAAAAATTATACTTTAAAATTAGCTAATTTGCTAATCCAACATCAGAGACTTTATTAGCTGTTCATTTCTGCTATTTCTACAATTTCTAAACAATTTCTAATCGGAATCTGGTGTCCTTGAGCCTGCAAGGCTACAACGACCCCCCCGAAGATATGTGGAATGTGCTGTCGCTATGGCTACTCAACTCTGTTTCCTATCCCAGCCTGGGCGGGACTGCGGGAAGGCCGCTGAAACGTTCCAGGGTCACTGCAACCCTCCAACCCGCAATGCTCCTCCCCTATCCACACTGAGGTGACATGCGCTGCTCATCGTGGCTGCAGGAACCGAAGTGGGGATAGTCCCAACCCACCACCCCACCTAGTGGACACTTATGTTGTGTTGTCTGAAGTCTGTTGCATTTCTGTCTGAGATGTTTTTTTGCATAGCAAAGCTGCCCTCCCTGTGGAGGGTAACTCTGAAGTGCCTTTTTTTCCCTCCACCTGAACCAATCCTCATGTAACCCTCTGATCTCTATTAAGGTAGCGCTGCTCAGGGTTGCGAATGACCACAGTCACCAATTCTTGTCATGTGTCTTGCCCATGTATGTCTGATCTCTGAATTGTGTGTACTGAAACTCTAATTTCCCCCTGGGATTAATAAAGTATCTTTGAATTTGAATTGAATTGAATTCAGATCAGTGAAATATTTCCACCTATGGGATGACAATCCAAGAAAACTAATCATCAAATTGTATTACAGCATGCCCATTGAATGTAAAGAACCTGAAATAAAAATGCTCGTGCTCATCTAGACCAATAAAAATGGATTTTAAAGCCACTGCTGTCGTCATCTGGGCAAAGAACCACTTCCAGAGTGAAGTGAGTAGGTCTGTAAAGTCACAAAGAAACCAAACATAATTTCTTGGAAACTTAATGTTGTTGTTTTTTTAAATCCAATATCTCACTGGGCTTTCAGTGACTCAATATTGCAAAAATAACTGAATTGGTTTGTGTGACACTTTCCCGAAGAGTAAAGCTGAGTCATAAGGGACAAATCATGTCATTACAAACAAAGTGGAACAATGTTTCAAAAATTCTTATTGTTATTTAGTCAGAAATAGTTTTAATTCTATTCCAATTTGTTTTAATTTTACTACCTTGGCAATGGGGGCAGACGTGTCCTTGGGCAAAGCACGTCACCCTCCCCCCCCTGCTGGTGGTGGTCAGCAACCTCGCTTCTGTCAGTGAATCTCAGGGCAGCTGTGGCTACATTGTAGCTCATCACCACCGGTGTGTGAATGTGAATGCGCCATTTACCACATACAGCAGGGGCAATAAGAATCTGACGCGTGAGCATTTTATTAGTAAAAACGGCCACGATCAGATGCTCCACCTAAGATTCCTGTTCAAGGAGACCAAAGAATAATCATTAAAGAGGCCAAAGGAACCTTCAAGATTTAAAACGTGTTTGTGTGGAAGAACGAGCCAGAATCACTCCTGAGCAATGCTGGTCTCTCCATACAAGAGACACCTAGAAGCTGTAATCATCAAAAAAGGCTTTTCTACAAAGTATTAAATAAAGTGTTTCAATACTTATTCCCTGTATCATTTCACTTAATTTATTAAGACTCAACTTCTATATTTAAATGTTCAGATTTCTTTATATGAATTCAATGTTTGGCTCAATGGCTCATCTGGTGCAAAATTGGGGTCAATAGCCCACTAGGAAATAGAAAATGCCGACGTGTGAAACATATTGTATATTCTTCCCGCTGTATTCATAAATTTGGAAATTTGTTTTCATGAAATAGATTTTAAAGTGTAATTGTTGAGAAGAGAGTGACCAACCGACAAACAGATGGAAGAACAAGCAGATGGATGGATTCATTATTTTATCATGACTATAATCTTACTTCCTGTTTTTTCTTTTCTCTTATTTTTATCTTCCTTTTTTGCACCAAGTACTGCAGCAATTTCCTAATCTTGTGATTCTTGCACATATGGCAATAAAACCTGATTCTGTTGGTCTCCAAAGAATGATGCAAAAACATGCTGACAAACGTAAACGTAGCCCATGTGTTCAGTGATGGTGGTACGATCATAATCTGGAAACAATTAGCTTCCCCTGAGCGGGAAAACCTTTTAACACCTTTAAAGGAAACTTTCACTGGAAATTTTCAAAGCTTTTGTATATTTTCCACTTAATAAACATTTTTTTCCTTTTAAATTAAAATTTGAACTTTGTCCCCACCGTCCATAGTGAAACCATTTGCTGATTTCCCCAGATGGACTTTCATCAGCAAACCAAGCTGAACTTTCTACATTCTCCCACTGTCTGGTACATTAGAACATATCAGACTTTTATACTGCTTATATTTTCCGATACAACATTGCTAGTATTTCAGGATCCTGTTGTGGTATTTTCCACAGGATATTTTTAAAGTGGGATCAGAAAAAGATGGTTGTGTAAAAGTGGGCTGGGTTAGAGGTCTCAGAGGCCATGAGAGGCTCCATGACAGATGTGAAGGGAAGGGGGTGGGGGACTTTAGATGAAGGAGGTTGCAGTAGTTTTCCACACACGTTTGTATGTAAGCAAAACATGTACGGGGCTAGAATTGGGACAATGTTACATGTAATCACAGCAAATTTAAAAGTGTTAATTTTCTGGTGTTGGTCCAACTTAACACCAAGAATGGTTAAGTTAACACTAAAACGAGTTATTTAGTTGATATGTAACACTGACATGAGAGTTAAAACCCAGTGTTAAAAAGGAGTGCTTCCTTATCAACTCTGTAGGAGTCACTTACAGTTTTTCTCAGTCGCTTTGGTGCGTTTCTCAGAACACTATTAACCCTTTGGTGCATAATGGTCACTACAGTGGACAGGTACTCAAAATTGTTATTTATTTGTTTTTGCTATAAAGCACAGCTGATGAAGACTTTATTGCATTTGAGCCCCTCCATTTGGACTTCAGTAAGCCAAGCCAACATATTTCTTGCTCAGAATGCATGCTGTCCACTGAGGTGGACATGTAACAAATTTTTTGTAAATGATAAAATTTTACAAAAAATATTTGTTGAAATTTGTTTAATTCACACCTGAAGACAAATGAAAAAAATTGTTTAAAACAATCATGGTTGAAGATTTCATAATTCATGCATCAAAGGGTTGACATTTGCACAGCAGTTAGTGCATTTCTCAAAACGATTAGTGCAAACTGCAAAACCTAGTGGATAGCCTGCAAAAGCACGTCACATGCTCAAAATTGATAATCCATTCCTCAAAAGCAAGTATTCATGTCAATGAAACTGTCGGTGCCATCAAAATGAAAAGTCTTGACACCATCTCTATGAACAAGATAGTCAAATGGCTTTGTCATGTTTTCACTATGACAGTTTATAATTTCAGTGTTTTCCATTGCAAGAATATTTGGTGACACCTGAAAATGCTCAAGACAGCACTATGCCCTACTTGAACAGCCATTTGAAATGTGCAGTAAAGTTACTGTAGATGTTATGGGAGTTTTGGGAGTAACTGAGACACTGAATACGTACGTTTTACATTTTTACTGTATAGAAGTGTTTGTAATTCTACAGCATTGTGCAAAAGAAAAATATGCTACAATCACTTGTTTACTGTAGAATACATGTAAAATCACCCTTTTGGTAGAGCTGTGCACAAATGTGAACAATATACAGTACATGTAACAGTACATACAGTATTGCACAGTACTGTAACATACAGGTACAGTACGTAAATCATTCTGGCACATCCAGACGTTCCTGTCTGTCTGGCCACATATTTTCATCTACATCACAATGGATGTCATCCCACGCAATGCAGCGAGGAAAGTATCTCCTGGAGTGGAGAAGTATACAGAAGTATAGAAATGGTACACACTAGCTCCTGCTCAGTTCATATATGCTTGCCAATTGAGGATTCACCTCCTCATGAGTGACAGATGAAATTCACCTGTGATCAATTGTTCAATTTAGGAGACATTAATGGGAGTCATGAGGATTTGCTCGCTTCTGACACCAGCCCCCAGCGGATGAGGGTGGAACTTCAATTTATTTCACTTCCGGGTTTGACTCAATTTCAGAGCTGCATTGTGGGGGCCTGGGTGGGACTTGTGGTTAACTCATGCTGATTGGTTGTAACCAAGTAGGAAATGACATTGGCAGATGTAGCCAAACAATCGGCATTTGTAAAACTGGAAAAATTGCTAGTGCAGCAGAATGGAAGGAAAATAAAATAAACTGTTTTCATGCTGCTTTATAATCAATGTTTCTTAACTCAATTATCACACTAAATGCAAGCTGTTACCATTCACTTCCATTGTTTATATTAAGCTAAAGCAAATGTAATACTTCCAGACGAGGAGAATGACAGCTGGTTCTCTTTAAACGGAGGGTGAATATCCAGTGATTCATGTTTAAAAACGTCATTATCTGTCCATCCTTACATCCATTTTCTGTACCTGCTTATCCACGCAGGGTTTCGGGGGGCTGGTGCCAGCAGTCTCCAGGCAAACGGGTGGGGTGCACCTTACAGGTTGCCAGTTCATCGAAGGGCCACACAGGGACACACAGGACAAACAACCATACACACACACACACTCACACCTAAGGAAATTTTGGAGAAACCAATCAACTTGACATTCATGCTTTTGGACTGTGGGAGGAAGCCGGAGAACCTGGAGAGAACCCACGGGGAGAACATGCAAACTCCATGCAGAAGGACCCCAGGCCAGGGGTCCTTCTGCATGACCTTCTTGCTGCTAGGCAACAGTGCCAACCACTGCGCCACTGCAGCCGTTTATTTAATATTTTATTTTATCAAAACATGTTAAATGATTTATAAGATATTTAGCTAAAAACGCACAAGCAAAAACATCATTATCCGCGTTCCTCTTTTTGACAGTGAGCAGGACGTAAACAGGAAGTCTCTTTAAATGACAAAAACATGTCACGCTGATTTTCTGACCTAAACAGATGACCTTTGGGATGCCAGCGGCTGCTTTACACCTTTTTTCTCACCGTGGCAGCATTCCTGTCATGTTGTGTCAACTAGCTGATAAGTTGCTAAGAAACAGGTGAAAACGTTTTTGCACTTGGCACGAAAATAACACTAAACCGCCATCTCGAATGGTAAAGACATGGAAAGACGATAAAAAGAGATGAGAATAAGTCCCACAATGAGAGGAAAGAAAGCGTGAGGTTTGTAAGAAGTCTAGATGATTGGTGTTCCTGCCTAACTGGTCGTTTAGATGCCTTATTATTATGCTGTGTGTGTGATAAGTGATATCTGTGTTGTGATGATGATTTCAGTGCCCCATGTGGGTGAATGAGTCAGAGACAGGGACTGGTAGTAACATAACACCAACACATAACTGGCAGAGGTGAGTGTGTGTGTGTGTGTGTGTGTGTGTGTGTGTGTGTGTGTTTCGGTCAGTAACCCAAGTTGCTAACAGCTTGAGTGGTGCTCTGTCACTGAGGTAATGAATCACACGCTTTGGAGCTTTGAAAGACGTCCAGCGGAGGGGCTGGTGTTGTCATGAGGCCCGGTTGTTTTTTAACGATAAAAAATGATGATTATATCATCTGAAATGTCCTTATAAAGCGGCTGCTGTCCCGTTTCACAGCTGAACATACAAGTTTATCATACCTCTATTCATAGCGCCGATTGTTCTGTCCCCTCTGCGACCGCCGCTGAAGTGGGCTGAGTGCTTACAGAAGCCAGGGGGATTTTCTGGCCAACCACCCTTCAACTCATCCTCAGTTTGGATTCCAGCTGTCCGGGAATGAACTGCGGAGTAGTCGGTGTCAGATGTCAGTACACACTGGAAGCAGAATGACAACGTGAATCAGAAATAGTCACGGGGCGTCTATAAAAGCTGTGGACAGATCGCTGTGCCACTCAAACACTCTGAAGAGAGAGTCTAGACGTCTCAGAGAGAGAACCAGCTTTCAGGAACCCAAGATCCCCAGACAGTAGAAAACATGCCATTCTGCAGCATACTGGAGAAGAGTAACGGCATGGTGGTGGGAGCAGAGCTGGCCTGCAGCATCCGGGAGGAAAACACGGCTAAGAGGGAGAGCTACAGTGCTGACTGGCACAGCGTTGATCTGAAAACTCAACCTCAGGACAGGTGAGACACCACATGCTCCATCTACTCAGTGGTTTGTACTGAGATTCCTCTTGTTTTAACCTTGGAGTGTTATTAAGTCTCTAAGTTGAACTGTCGTCTGATGCCCACAGACAAACCATGAGCATGAAGGACGACTCCCGTAGAGAGACCCTCTCCCGGCAGTGGCAGTACCGCTCTCTGATCCAGACCTGCCCCTCTGGTGTCTTCAGGGTGGGCACTGTGGAAAGAGGGATGAAGGAGCACCAGTTGCTGCCAAAGAGACACACCCTCCCCCTGCCCATCTTTACCCCCACAGAGCTGGGTGTCAGGCTGGGACGTGGTGCCCCGCACACAGAGCACGACCTGCAGCCCTTCCCCACACGAGATGGGGTCTGCCCCAGCAAGAGGAGTGTGGACGAGATCACCAGAGACCTCCCCCCCATCAAACCGGTCCTCATGGAGTTCACTAAAGCCCCCAGAGCTCTGGGTCGCTCCATGTCACAGGAAGCCCAAAGAGGCTGAACGGAAAAGATAGAGGCGGAAAAAGAAGAGAATATGTTAGCTTGTTTGATCCACTTGTGAATGTGATGCTAGCACTAGTGCACTTTTATTGTGAAAAGTGCAAGTTTAACAGAACGATGGCGATGCAAGTTATCAGAAAGAAGGTTGAAAGTGTTTGAAGGGCAAGAAGGGATGGATGGAGTGGTATGGTGATGAAACGTGATGTTTGGGTTGGTCACCTCCCAGGAGCTTCTGCCAGTTCTGTATGGAGAGAACAGAATGCACTGGCACCATCACACACTGCTGCTGTTCCTGAGTGAGTGTGTGTGTGTAGACTGGTACCTGTTTTCGTCTCGCTTCATTAACTCATTCTTCCTGTTAGCTGAGTGGCAGCTGCTGTCTGATCCTGACAGCAGACACAAGTTTGGCTGAGATCATGAACAACTTTTTAATGTGTGAAATGATGATATTTGTTTATTGGAAATGAAATATTTTTGCTAATAAAACTTTAAGTACTCATAATTTCCTTGTCTTCAGACTTGTTTCTGTGATATTCTTGAAAAACCCTAAATTAGGTTTTACGTAGAGAAAAACAAAATGACTACAACGAAGATGAATGAATCACCCATCTTAAAGTATCTGAGCAGCTCCCTGTCAAGTCCCACTTTAGTCTGATGTGGAGCTGACGTGCTGGCGCTGCAGTCCGCTTCCAGCATGTCTTCTGCATGGTTTAGATCATGAACACAGCTGATTTGTTTAATTCAGTGATGAATCCCTCCTGATGAAGGCTGGGGAGACAGTTTAGCAGTTAGATTAAGGTGTTAAAAAGACGAACGTACAGCAAGAAGAGGAGATTCACTTTTGCTTTCACTAACAGACACTAGGGGGCGATAAAGGCAAGCCAAAACGGCCTACTATCCCTTTAAAAGATCAATTTCTGGTATTTTTTCAATAATGTCTAAAGCATCAAAAGTAATTGAGTGAAGTGACAACAAACAAAAACAAACTTTATTCTAAACTCCTTTGTACGTTCAATCTGTCTTTTTTAACACAGTTTATTAAAAGTAACAAAGTAATGAAAAACAACTTTGTGAGAGAACAGTTTACACAGGAAAAACATTATATTTTTAACTAATACTAATAACTATAATAATTTTTATTAATTATTTCCTTAAATTTAGTCGTTTTCACTAAATAAAAATGCAAAAAAGAAAAATTTTCACAGTATATTTCATTATGTGGATATTTAAGAGTCCCTCAAATAAAATTAGCATATGCAGTTCTGATGCATGAATATGTACATTTTTAAGATCTAATCTATCTTTGTATTTGATTTTACTTTTCACAACACATAAATGGTGTGAGCATAACCATCTTCGCTTGAACACCAGGAAGACAAAGGAAAAGATTGACTTCCAGAGAACCACTCCTCCTCACTCACCAGTAAACATCCAGGGAGCAGACATTGAGGCGGTGGATACTGTAGCATCATGAATGTCCTGTTTTTGACCTAAAGGTCATGATCTGCTGCGTCTGCTCAAGCAGAGGCATAAAGTCTCTGACAGCCTAATCTACATGAGATAGTGGCCAAGGTCTTTCAGGCACTCTGCTCATCTGAACTGCTTCACCTCTGTTACAACGAAGACAAGAACTATTTTGGTAAATACATAATCAACAACTTTGTTTATTACCGATAATAATGTGAGCCCAATGTTCAATCAATCTGTGAAATGACAATGTTATTACTTGATGTTATAATCCTGTGATCAGTAGTATTTTACAAGTTATTATAATCCTGGACATTTGCACTAGACACTGATGACACGTAATGCTAAAGTCACACGACACATTTCCTTTTGTCTGATCCAATCAGAACCTTCGTTTCTGGCTGGGCGTGGTTATCTGTGGTGTTTGTATAAACCCTCTTTGGCATGTCAAATTCTGATTCGCCAGTAAACCAAAATATGACAATTATAAAAACTATCCCACGCCACCTTTTCTTTAGTTCAAGCGTTCTAGAGAAGTCTGGGACCGGCCATCCGGACTTCCTCTTCAGCCTTAAAGAACCTCAGACAAGCTGGATAAAATCTGTTGCACGTTACACCTGACCGCAACGGTTCCTTCAGAATAAAAGCTGAACCTCACGACCCCTTCAGGGTCTCGGAGACGTCAGTGATAACCTGTCGTGACCTGGAGCATTCCCAGACTAGTTTGGTCGGCACCGCTGCTTTTTTTACCGGCTTCGGTACCAAGGAGGGTCCTTGAAGACCTCTACATTCTGGATCTAACGGAGGCTTCCCCTGGGGTACGTAGACCGACAGATGACGTTTCATGTGTGTTATAAATCTCCTACTAAAGTTTAGAGCGCAACATTCACTCCCACTCAGAACTAAATGCTTCTCCAGATCCGCTGGTTCTGAATAACATTCCACACACACACCATCATCATTCATCACGTCTCCCTCCACCATAGTCCATCAGTACACAGAGTGTTAAAGTTAGTCTTGTTTAAATTGTGTAGAAATAAATTTCTTAACTATTATAAACCAGACTCTCTCTCTTTCCTTGGAGTTAATACGAAGTGTCGCTTAATCCCTGCAATAAAAAGTTCTGATCTTCTGGTTAAAATATTCAAAGATCCATCAGATTGATATTTCATATTTCTATGGAATCTCACATTTTATGGTCCATAAAAGTACGTGGGTGTTCACCTCAACAGCAAACTGAACTGGTCCAACAACACAGATACTGTATAAGAAGGGCCAAAGCCACCTCCACCTCCTGAGGAGGCTGAGGTCCTTCAGAGTTAATCCCAGCTGCTAAAATCCTTTCATCACTCTGTGGTTAGCTCTGTTATCCACTCTGCTGTGGTCTGTTGGGGTGCAGGCAGCTCTCACCGAGACAGGAAGAGACTGAAGTTCACAAAGCTAGCTCGGTTCTGAGCTGCCCACTGGATTCAGTTGAGGAGACGTGTGAAAGAAGGATGCTGGGGAAGACGACCTCCATCTTAAAAAAAAAACTCCACTCACTGCATTCCACTGTGGAGACCATGGACAGCTCCTTCAGAGGCAGGCTGAGACATCCTTATGTAACAGAACGCTACCGTAGTTCATTCATTCCCTCTGCAGTAAGAGTGTACAACTCCTCAGTTTAAGTTTACTGGCATTATCCTGGTCTACAATACCATCAATGCAATACTCAGTACGTGTTCAATACTCGTGCAATATACGATTTACATAGTATGTTCATGTCCCTTACGGTATGATGCATAGTTCTAGAACCCAAGTTTTTAATTTTTTGTGACACACACACACACACACACACGCTCATACACACTCATTCTCGTCCAAACAACTGAGTTGCGTTCCCAGACAATAACTCCATCACCTAAACGTTTCCCAACAGGATCAGGGCCAGACTCTCAATAGAACTTATTCACGATTTGCAAACAGAACAGAACATTCCATCCATGATGCTACGCTGCTTAGCTAGCTTCATGAACTTTATTCATTTGTATATTTAGATAAGCCATTTTTATATTTTACATGTTTTTACATTACTGTATTTTTGCACAACTATGTTGCTGTGAAGCTCGCACACAAGAATTTCACTCGCATGTACTGTACCAGTGTACCTGCACATGTGACGTGACACTAAAAGTGATTTGATTTGATTTGATTTGATTCATGTTCAGCTGCTCCACCTAGAACGGGCATTTTGTCCGCATAGAAGGAGTTGTGTGCTGTTTGTGCATGTTTGGTGGGTGGGTTATGAGCCAATTATAGAGCTAGTGGGACAGCACTATATTGGATGAGGTTTTTCCAGGTATTGTCAAAAAACATTTAATTTATTAGTTGCAATGAGTATGTGACGATTGTTTCAAGCAATATGCAAAACATGCTCCAGAAAGATCTGAGACTTTACCTTTAAATAGTCATTTAATTGCCTCCTTTCTACTTGCAAAAGTTCTCTAATATCAGTTTATGCAAAAAATAAATTCCTTTGTGTCTTTAACCTCATCTGACTCATAGCACTTGTTGCGTCTGTGTGATAGTCCATGCGTGGTGGTTTGATTTGATAATAATAGCTGTGTAAACACCAGCATCGCCCTGGAGACAGCTGTATCACCACGCTCCACCCATCAGAGCTCTTAATCCCTGTGTTTTATCTGAGATTTGGCATTGCTGCCTTCCCTCCTCCCACACTGCTGCTGAAACACTCAGCTTCCCATCCACATCTGTCACTGCACCATCCGCTCTTCAGACAGCAAATGAACCTCAGAACTCTGAAACTATTTCCAGCGGATGCCGATGCTAGTCTGGATCGAGACTGTTGTGTCACAGACAAATCAACTCTGAAATTCTTAGCAGCAGCTGTGTCAGCAGCTCCGTGCTGCTGATATGTTTCCATCTACTCAAGTCTTAAGTATCAGATCTTTTAATTCAGAAAAAATATACAATTTTGTCCATTCGTGTTATTTGTTAAACTTTTATTATTTTTTCTCAGGATTGTGTATTTTAGATGAGGTCAGGTGTAATAGATAGTTTTTTTTAGGAGTGGGGGCGGTGTTCATGCAATAGTTTCATGGTTTCTGTGTGGTTGAATTCAAAGTCGCCATTTGATACAAACCTTTTACATCCTCCTTTATAAATCTACTGCTGCCCCCTGCTGGGTAGTTCAGATTTTGTAAGTTAAACTGTATTTTTTTTGTCAATTTCATCAATTAAAACAATAAACGTACATCTGAATGAAAGTTTGTATCTTTTTCACTCATAGCCTCAACAGCAATACTCAGTGTGCAATGCAGGATTTACATACTTGCTGTTTCTCAAGAATATTTCCTTTTTAAATGTCGTGGTAAGACCACGGTGTCAGGACCTGCTCTTTCTGCCACTGCTGTCTGTGTCTCGTCTCCCCTTGTTAGTGTTGACTCACCTGCCCCTCGTTACCCTACCCACCTGTTTCCCTGACTGCTCCCATCTATTTAAACCTTCTGTGCTTGTCTTCGTCAGATCCTTGTCCTTCTGTTGTGTCATCCCACCATTTTTCAAATAAAACTGTTCTTTCTCGCCTGCTAGGTTGTTTCTTGTGCCTGCTCTCCTGTCTTTGGGTCTGAACAAAACAGCACCACCTGACACACAGACTCACAGGAACATTTTCCTTTTAGAGAAAAATAATTCATATTTAATTATAATAAACATTTTTGTTTGACAGAGGAAATTTCGTCTCAGCCAGAAATTGTGCAGGATGTAGGATGGACTGATAACAATGATCAACTGTACAACAAGCCAAGTATTTGTCTGTTTGCTTTGTGGGGGCCTTCAAGAAAACTGACACAATCTTTTAGTTTATTTTGGACAGTTTCATCATTTTTAACCAGATTTCTACACTTTAAAAATATTTTTGCAAACATCAACTAGAGCTGTTGGATATAACATTTCTTTACAGGTATCCGATACACCGATATAAACCAATATATGCATGGGAAAAGGAAAACAAGACATTACAATCATCTATCAAGC